GAAACCTCCACATACTGTGAGCTACATAAACCTTTTCTCCTCTAACTTTGGGCATCTGGTATTTTGCTCAGCAACGTGGGAAAAGTAACCAAGACATTGTAACTCTGCTTATGTATGTATACACAAGATAAAGTGAGCTTATCATGAACAAAGGTGTATAAGAGCATCCATCAATAGTAAAGCAAATAAAATGGTGGTATATTCACATAAGGAAGTAATGTATAGCAATGAAAAGGAATAAGCTACTGCCATCGCCAACAACATGAATTTCACAGACATAATGTTAAGCAAAAGAAGCCAGGCATGAAATAGTACACACACAAGATCCCATTTATATGGAGTTCATCATGGAGGCAATGGTGATAGAAGCTAGAATTACGGTTTCCTAGAATGGGTAGGAAGAGCTGACAGGTTCTCTAATACCGTGAGGGAGCCTATCAGTGCGCTGGGAAAAGTTTTAAACCTTCATCTTGGTGGGCCGCACAGAGATGTTTATATAAATAAAAATTTAATTGAGTTGTTCACTTAGGTTCTGTATTATTATGTTATACTTGAATAAAAAAGAAAAAGAATAAATAGGAAAAAAGACTTAGAAGAGAAGGATAATAAGGTAATCTACTACTTACAGGTATCAGAAAACTGGCCCACCACTCTAGTTTCACTAAAAAGTCATCTGGGGAAAACTGACTTTCATAACAGATCACTTATAACCTCATACAGTGATCAAGGGTTAGATCCTATATAAATGTCTTTAATTTCTAAAAGAGATGTCCCTTACGATATAAGACATAAGTGCATGAGGTCCTGGGTTTGATCCACAGCCCTGCAAAAGAAATAAATAAAAAAATGACAAAATATAAGAATATAAAGTATGAAAATAAATAAATAAATAAATAAAAATGGGGCTGGGGATTTAGCTCAGTGGCATAAGCACCTGCCTTGCAAGCAGGCAGTTGTGAGTTCGATCCCTGGTACCGGTAAAAAGGGAAAAGACAAAAAAAAAAGAATATAAAGTACGGTAGTATACCTCTGTAATTCTAGCACGTTGGAAGGCTGAGGCAGGAGGACTGCAAGTTGGAATTCATCCAGGCAATTCAGTGAAATTCTGCCTCAAAATAAAAATTAAAAAGGGCTGGGAATGTAGCTCAATGCGAAGACCCCGAGTTCAATTCCCCCGTTCCAAAAAAAAAAAAAAAAGACAATATTATTTGTGGAGAATTCTCAAATCTCATTTTCACTTACATAGTATCTTATAAATACTTTCTTCTTTAAGTACAACCATTAAAACTAGGAAAGTGAGTACAGAAACTTGTATCAGGCCAGGAACAAATTGACAAATAGGGGTTAACGTAGGGCTATCCATTCTTTTCATGACCCTTCTGATGGCTATCAAAAAACTGAAACATTAATGTTTATACTTATTAAATCTTTCCAAACAGTTCCTAGAATCTATTAGTGACTGGATTTTCAATTCCTGAGAATCCAATCAAAGATTTATAAAAAGCTCAAGCTCAATGATGCTAATTCTGTTCATATCCTCCTTTTTGAGTTGTTGGTAAAATTTAAACATCAATCAAGTTGTACTCATATTTCATGTAATATTCTAATTACACAGTTCCTCTAATCCTGAGCTGTCTAATAGGGGAGTCACCAAGTATATGTGGCTACTGAGCTCTTGAAATTTAGCTAGTTTGATTTGTTCTTTGAATTTTAAACACATACTACATACCAGTTTCAAAAATTGTATAAAATACAAAAATCTCAGTAATAGTCTTATATTGATTATATGTTGAAATGACATTTTAGTGTTCAGTTTAGTAAGATTAAAATAAATTTAATCAGTTTATTTGTACTTTTTAAATATGGCGAATAGAAACTTTTAAGTTACATACTCTGTTTTGCTTTATTTGTATTGGACACCAGGCTCCACATAGAGAGTAACATTTTCAGAGTGCTATTTCTCTCTCTCAGGACAGTTTTGAATTAGTGTTATGGTTATTTAGTGTCTTCTAGCCAAATTACCTGTCTTTGTCAAAGATTAAGACTTCTGCTTAATCTTTATAATCAACTGGGTTTCAATATGGCCACATAATAAGATGTTTGACCTGCATGATGTAATGGAATATTTTACACTTTCCTCAAGCTCCAGGAACCTGTAAACCTGTGGTTCTGTGGCGTGAAGGGCTGGGGCAGAGAAATGACCTTGGTAATCTCCTACAGAACTTCCCTGGACACCCAACACAAACCCTGTGTTCAATAAGAAACAGTGCTGACCATTCTCTCTTCAAAGTGCTTGTGCTGAAGCTCTGATTGCTAATGTGACCCTGGGGGATGGAGCCCTCAGTCAGAGAAAACTAAGGTTAAAGGAGGTCGAAGAATGGGGTCCTAGTCAGGTAGGACTGCTGACCTCAAAACAGGAGGAAGGGAAGTCTCTGCCTGTCCGCCAGCAAGCACACCCAGCCAGCAGGCAGCCATCTGCAAGCTAGGAAAGAAACAGACCTGCCAGACCTGCACCTGGGGCTTCTGCCTTGCATGATGAGGACATTCCTGTGGTCTAAGCTACCGTCTATGGCACTTTATTAAGGCGTTCCAAGAAGACTAGTACAAATACCTCCTACTTAGGCAGTCAAACTTTACATTGATGATGGATATATACATTTTGTAAGATAATAGCATGGTGACTTCCATAAAGTGAGGACGAATAAATATCTGCTAATTTTCTCTAAAGGTTCACTCCATAGGCTGGTGTTCCCATAGGTTGGTCTGTCCTCTGCAGACCAACTCACAGAAGGACCAAGTTTGGTGGGCCAAGTCCAAAGGGTCAAGGAAAACTGAGTATTAGTTTTAAAGATTACTCTGAAATATTTTCTTCTCAACTCTATCAAAATTATTCTTTTCAGTAACTGGAGTTCATATTCCAACTCGAACTGAAAACACCAAGTTACTAGAACTTACAGATTTGCACCTTGTGCGATGACACCTTCAATGATTTCCTCTTACTTTAAGCATAATAATATCTCACTTTGTGCTCCAAGGCAGGAACAATCTTCAGTGTACCCCGAGTAAAGGTAGTACTCAGCCTCTAGGCTGTTGGAGTAATAAGTGAAAGGCATTACAAAAAAAGGAAAGAATGGGTCTCAGCGTACGGACTAACTGTGCTTCGCCTCTTTAAAATCATTTCTGCTGGGCACACCAGGCACACTCCCGTGATCCCAGCTACCTGGGCAGCTGAGGCAGGACGATGGTAAGTTGGAAGCCAGTCTGGGCTACTTGGCCAGACACTCTCTCAAAAACACAAAGCAGGCGGTCGTGAGTTCGATCCCTGGTACCGATAAAAATGAAAAAGACAAAAAAAAAAAAAAAAACAATAAAATAATTAAAGGGGCTGGACATGCAGTTCGGTGCTGAGTTCAGCCCCAATACGGAAAAAAAAAAAAAAAATCTTTCAGATTTAAAAAGTGTAGTTTTAAAGAAGGGGGGCAAATTGGGTAGTTGCTTAATTACTTATCATTTTAATCCCGTATGTCATCTCTTGGAGATCTGCAAGATCTAGAGAATTCTAAGAAACCTTTACCCAACTTCATTTATCTCACACGTTTTCCGGGGACAGGACCCTGCGGTCTAACATAACCTCAAAGACAATGGTCAGAAAAAGTTAAGAATTTCTGTCAAACTGAGTGATCCCTTCCTCTTCTCACTTGCAGGCTAGGTGCACCCACCTCCCCATGCCCATCATGCCGCCCACTTCTCTGCGTGCACCCACCACTCTGCTGCCCACCCTGTTTATCGGCTATTTGGGGTAAGGTGCACGCCAACGTGTCCCTGTTCACCTCCGCGACAGACCCTTTCCTGGGCGCCCCTATTAACGCGGAGCGGCTCGAAGGTGGCTCTCCGCGGGCAGCGCCCACCCTTCTCCCCCTCCTCAGCCCTCTGCACTTGCCACCGGCTGAGGGTAACCCCTCGCGCGCTCCCAGCACTAGAAACGCCAGGACTGGCGCGACTTCGCAGTCGCGCGGGGGTGTTAGGTAGGGCTCTCGCCAGGTGTAAAATTCTTATTTCCGCTTCCAAGAGGCTGTGAGCAAAGGGGACCCTAGCAGTCTGCGGGGCTCCCTGGAGGAGAAGGGCGATTTAAAACCAGGACCAACTTTGCGTGGTTGGCAGCTGTTCGGGCAGAGGCCCTGCACCTGCCCGAACCCCACTTCCCCCAGAGCCCCGAGCCTCTCCACCGCGAGCCCCACGCTCCCGGGCTTCCCCGGCGCAGACCGGCTGGCGGACTCCGCGCTCGCTCCCGCACACTGCTCACTGCGCGCCCTCGCGTCGCTTCCCATCTCCTACAGACGGCAAGCGGGTCCCCGCCCCCAACTTGCCTGATCCCGGCGCCGCCGGCCGCACCGGCCCCGGGCAGGGTGCCCAGGCCCCGCGGCGGGCCTGGCCCCGGCCGCTGCGCCACGGCCTCCGCGCCTCCTTGGGGCGCCGCGCGCGCGGCCAGGCCGGGGACGGAGGCTCCGGGGATGGCGCGGCCGCTCCGCCAGCAGGTGGCCCCGGGGTCCCGGCGGCCCGCCCTCCGCCGCGCCCCTCCTCCCGGCCTCCTCACGCCCGCCCGCCCGCGCCGCCGCCGCCGCCGCCCTCCGCCCCTCGGCCGCGCGTCCCCGGGGCCGCCGTGTCCGCAGCTGCGCCCGGCCGCTCCCCGCCGAAAGTTGCGCCGCGCCGGGCGGCGGGCGGCCTCGGCGAGCTGCGGAGCGGGCTGGGGGCGGCGCCGCGCGGAGGCAACTTCTCCTGGCGGCCTCGGCCTCCCGCCGCCGCCGCCGCCGCCGCCGCCTGGAGCGCGGACCTTGGTCCCGGCCCCGCGCGCTGACAGGAGCCCGCTCCGCCGCCGCCTCGGCGCCGCCGCCCGCGCCGCACCATGGAGTTCTCGGAGAGGAAGCGGAGCAGGAAATCCCAGAGCTTCAAACTGGTGAGCCGAGGTAAGCGGGGAAAGTTGCGCGGGGGAGGCCGGCGCCGCCAGCCTAAACAAGTCGCGGGGCGCACGGGGACCGCACACAATGCCGCCCGCCCCGGCCCGGCCGGGCCCGGCTCGGCCCCTACCCGGCCCCGCCGCGCGAGCGGCCGAGGAGCTGCGCGTCAGGCCGGCGCCGCGGGACCGCGCTCCCGGCTCGCCTCGGCTCGGCTCGGCTCGGCTCGGCCTGGGTCGGGTCGGGTCGGGTCGGGTCGGTTTGCTTTTCTCCCAGAGGGAGGGGGAAAAGAAAAAGAAAAAAAGCAAGCAAGAAAGAGCGTGGCTTTCCTTAAGGAGCAGGCAGCTCCTCAGGTGACCGAGCCCGCAGAGCCGCTGCCGTCCGCGGCGTGTCCAGCTGCCTGCTGGGGAGGGGACTCTGTCCGCGAGGTCGCCGGAGCGCTCCCAGGGGACTAACAGGTGCACCCCGCACCCGGCCTGGTGGCGTCGGGGCAGGGAAGTGCAGTCCGCTCTCGCTAGTTGGAGGCAATCTCTGGATCTGAGTCTGCTAAAAATGACGGGAACCGAAGATCGAAGCTGTGAAGAACACGCCTGGCAGGACGCATTGTGTCGCCTGAGGTGGGCGGCAGGTGACTTTGTTGTTGCTGTTTTCATTGGGGAGTCCCAAGTCCTAGCCCCACCCTGTTTGGGTGTCTTTGAATCAACTTGAGGTCAGAGGCAAGCTCGCATCCCGCCTGCTTTCCAGTGTAGTTTTATCAGGCTTTGGCATCGCAGCAGACAGCCTATACAAGTCACACGTAAACTAGTGAAATTGGAGGGCCATTACAAGTGACTGCGTTTACCCAGCCAAGCCGAGCTGAGAGGTGGATCCAGTACAGCCCACTTTGAGGCGGTCTGAAAATGGTTTAATTACAGACATTTTGAAGATTTGATCATTTCTGTGTTCCTTAGTTTGGGTACTGTTTAATGAAAGTGGCCTGAAATAGTCTATGTATTCAAAATGTTTGGGTCTTCTCTGTGTAAAAAACAACTTTTTTTCACAACAGTGTTGATTACATAGTGATTTGTGCTTTAGAAACCGCCCTACCATCTGTGCGTCCTTCTGTCTGTCTCTCCCTATGCGTCTCTGTCTCTGACTGCCTGTTGGTGCTATCAGATTCATTCAGAAATGCAGGCTGCTTTTGGATTCATGACTCAGGGAAGTTACTAATTTATCTTAAAAGTGAAATAGTAATTCTGTCCTTACCTCCTGTGATGTCTGAGGTCAGAAAATGGAATAGCTATTAAGAAAGGAACCTCTTTTCAAACACAAGGGAGCCTCCCTTTTAAGAAATAGAAGCTTGTGGGTCATGGTAGCCTCCATAAAGAAGCTTGTATTTTAAACTTATACTGACATAGAAAATTACTTTTATTTATTTATTTATTTTTATTTTTTGAGACAAAGTCTTGCTTTGTAGTCCAGGCTGGCCTTGAACTAACAGCAGTCCTCCTGCCTTAGCCTCCAGAGTGCTGGGATTACATCCGGGTGTCATTCATTATGCCTGGCAACATAGCCTTTTTCCTTTTTTTTTTTTTTTTAAATTAAGGTCTGATTTTTTCTGCTTTGCAGGTGTTTTTTTTTTTTTCCAGAAAATAAACTATTGCTGAATAAATCAGCAAGCAGTGATTGAATGAGAAATACTGTCTTGTATAAAAGATGAAAATCTTGCTTCCTTTCAAATATATGATATTTGAAATGACAAATTAGTATTTTCTATACATGTTTGCTTTAAGCAGCTTCACTGCTGAGATTTTCAGGGTAAACTGAGAAAGCTGAGAGTTCTGGATGACTTTGAAGCATACTGTTTGATATGCTTATAAAAATGGGTTGTGGAGATAAATTTGGAAACTCTTCTGGCCTATGATTTGGTGAGATCTTTCTCTTATAAACATACTTGCTGTGCCAAAGAAAAGCTTAGTGATCGGCATCAATGGGGCAAAATTTACCATGAAAACTCTGACCAAGCATTGCTGTTCTCTAAAGTCCAGTTAATACTTAAAGTTTTGTGCTTTAAAGCATGCAGAGTTTCAGGGATTGTTTGGAACCACAAATTCTGTGAATAACAGTTCTCAAATAGATTATAAGTTATGATTTATAAATATTAGAATGGAATTCTAGGTTTTATTGCTTATGCCCATCCTGAGGTTGGTAAAGTCTAATTTTTGGTTGTTTCTCATGCCAGATTATCACCATGAGGTGTATAAGATCTCAGAATTCAGCAACGATGTTAATGGAGAGGCCAAAGAAACGCAACCCATTTTTTTAGGTAGGTTCCTGTGTCAATTAATTTCTCAGCAAAACATTGTGGCCATTTGCAGATGGGGTGGGGGATTGTGCGGGAATGGGAAATGTCTGCCATTGCTTAATCTATGACACTCTTTTCTAGACCTTTTATTTTACAGATTGCCAATATATCCCTTATTAACATTGCTAAAAGTTGTAATTTCAGACATAAATGTTTATTAGTGTCTACACACAGTGCTAATTATCGCCCACTCACGGAGCCAGATGCTGACCGAGCAGTTTTGTGGCTCTGTGCTCACCCCATTTACATTGCATATTCGCTGGCATGCCTCACTGGCAGTAGTTTGTGTAATTGGGGTATTACATCTTTGACATCTGGATAACAGAAATTCAATTTCCAGGAAGCTGCTATTTGTTTGGTTTTGCTTTTGCCTTGGGTGGGCTGGAGGATTAACGTGCTGTCTTGTTATAATGTCCCTTCACCTCTGTGGCCTGGTTGCTAATCCTGCCATGACATAATTAAATTAAATCTACAGTCAAAAAGTGTAAGGAGAATAGAAGTGTGATTGCCTGCCTAACCACCCCTTGGTAGTGCTAGTTACCATTCAGCTGCTCCTGGGCTCCTGGTTTTACGGCTTTCTGTTCCTTTCCCACCAACATTTCTGGCCATGGAGAAGAACCCCGCCTCTGCTCCTCTTTCCTGGCTCACCTGGGGGACACGTGAAGTGAAGGCAGCATCTCCTGGACCTTCTGACGGTGTGTGGCACTCTGGGCGGGCAGGTGGCCAAGTGCTGCTGTTGTGTGCGGTGTAGGTGTGCACTTGGAAGACTTTGGAGGTGTGGTTTGTCATCTGTAGACCAGGCACTGAAAATGACACTACTTAGGATTTTGCCTTTAAGAGTGAGGTACCCACAAAGTCACAGTGGACAGTACTTAGTGGCAGCAAGCTTAACTTTGCTCATCCCAGGGTGCTGTGTGGCCAGGACATGGAAGGTGAGAGATGTCAGAGTGAAGTGAGTGAGAGCAAGGCTAAGGGTCCACTGTCCGGCCGGCAGGCAGCAGGGTTGCTGCTCCTGAGACCCTTCGGATTGGAACACCGGAGAACACTGCGCTTCACTAGGACCTCTGTTTTGCTTTAAAGGGAAAGAAGAAGGGTGGTTTGCAAAGGACAGATGCAGACATGAAACAGTAGGGAGATCCAGCATTTCTTTTATGAACAACTGTAGAAGGCCCGTGGGTCTTTCTTTCCACATAAGGAGAGGCCAGTGCTGCTCTGGGTACCTGTGGGCTGTTCAGAGACCCAGAAAGGCCAGAAGGCGAACACTTAAGTGAATTGCCTGACCCAGAAAGAAGTCTGGGATTATGCTTCTCGGTTCCCTAACCTTGGTGAGTTGAATTCTCTGTCAGTACCACTTGATTTAGCCATTTGAAGTAAAGAATTTGCCTTCTAGTAGGAAATTTACATTGATTAAGCAAAGGAAAGGTCATGTTCTTGATTTATGCTCTAGCAAAGGCCTGCCCTCAGCTGCTTTTCTTCTGTGTGCAAGCAAAGTAGTGGGAGTGAATTTTGAAGAAGAAAAAGGGGAGGATGAGAAACAGGAGTGTGCTGGGGCTCAGGATTCAGGATACTACACACTCTCAGAAGGTGGCCTCTGCTGTTTCCCATGTGATTTGAGAAAGAAGCATACCAAGACAAGAAGAGGCATGGGATCCACTTTCAAAGAAAGCGGTTAGAAAGATTGAGCACCCTGCTTTCCCCAAGTAAGTCAGATGTGGTTCCCAGGGAACATTTTTCTTTTGTGATCTTCAGGTCAATTAAAAAAAAAAAATAAGTGGAAGTGATTGTGTAAACATGATTTCTAGAACAATTGGAAATAGTTACTGATAACATATAAAAAGAAGAATTTTGTTGTTGGCAGTGTAGGTTACTCTTCTTAAAACCTGGATTTAATTCAGATTCATTTTGTAAATTGTTAGTATCTTCTTAACATTATTTATGATTTGAAGCATATGATATCTAGGAGAGTTTGATATCATATCAGTGACCGTTTCACTTGTGCCAAAGTAGTGGTAGCCCTGGATCCCATGCGTTATGGGGGATTTTCTGCATTAAACATGCATGTTGTCTTGACACTCTGCATCTTTAAGATTAAAGTTCGTGTCCCAAGGGAGAGGAGAGTGCTGCAGGATTTGGCAGAGGCTCCCACATCAAATCTGTCTGGAATATTTTTAGGCTGTTAACCAAGGCAGTACAGTCAAGATGGCAGGCAGGCTTGGTAGGGTAAATGGCTTTGGGAATTAATCACACATTTTAAATTTGATAATAGGGTCAGAAGAGAGAGTTTTATCCCTTGGGCGTTGACTTTCTCGAACTGACTTGAAACTACAGCAGAGATTTGAGTTCTGGAGAAAAACAACCTATTTGATCAATCAGCAAGTATTTTTGTGAAAAAAAAAAAAAAAAAAGTGAACCCAGCACTTTCCTGGGGTGGGAGTGGGATCTGAAATGGGTAGGACAGGGGCCCTGCTCTCGATGACTAAAATCCAGAGGGGAGAGTAGGCAAGAGTCAGGAAGCAGGCAGCAGAATTTAAAAGTCATAACAACTACAGTATGAGCTCTGTGTGCAAGGCTGTGACCTGGGTCCTTTATGTGAATTATCTCATCTACTCTGGCAGCAGATCTGCCACGTCATTATCAGCCTCACGTTGTAGATAAGGCTTAGGGATATTAAGGTAACCTGCCAGAGGTCGCTCATTGGGTGGCCATGGCCAGGGTCCCAGTGCAGGTCCACCTGAGCCTTAAACTCCCTGCACACCTCTGTGTGAAATATAATTCAGTGGCATTCATGAACAAGCAGTCAAGGGCAAAAGTAAAAGTTGGACCACAGCCTTTCACCCCTACTGGTGGGGAGCTACTAGACCTTGACCTGCAGAAAAGACTTGGTCAGACGGAAGATCCTTGGTGTGAAGTGTGATGTGGGCCAAGGCGGAGTTATAAGCATGGGTGTAATTAGACTTTGAGTGAATGTTATTATTCTTCGTAGTTACAAAGCACTTTCACCTGTGTTATCACATAGATTTTCTGCAACATACCTTTGAGGTACTCAGGGTGGTTACTGTTATTCCTATAGTAATGAGGACTGAGGCTCAGAGTGAAGTGACTTGCATAGGTCTAGCAGAACCTGGAGTAAACACTGGTCCCCTGTCCAGATTGCCCTCTCCCATTTTGAGGCAGATCAACTAGTGTCATTGAGGACACCTTAGCTGGTAAGAAGGCACTTTTTGAAAAAATATTTTATGACATTCCCAAATTCCCAAAGCCATTTACCCTACCAATTTATTGTTTGTAGTAAGAAAGCAAGCATTAATGTCTCTTTTATACATTGTATTTTGGTTTAGACTTACTATTATAGCGTATGCATTTGAAACGTTTATTTTTCAGTTAAGTCTCGTTTATTTATTCACTTAGTGAATGTTTTTTGAGCTGTAATTACGTATGTGCCAAACCCTGTTTTGGTTGTTCTTTTGGATATTCAGCTCAGTATTATAATGTTCTGTAGATGAATCTGAGGTGTGGTTGCCATGCCAGTTGAGCACGGTCAAGAGCTCTTGATTTTGAGTCAGTGACTTTCTTGATGACAGCTGTCTCCTGAAAGTCCTCTGAATCTCTCTAAAGAGAATACACATGGAACATTTCTAGACACCTTTACAAGTTAGGGGATCAGCCAGTCGCTGCTCTGTGGTGTTCCCTGGACAGCTGGGCAGCCACATGTGGAACAGGGTACTCCTCACCTGGGATCTGGTGGTCTAAGTCCCAGCTCCTCCTGAAAGGAAGGAGATGCTGATGATGAGCCTGTGGCAGGATTCCAGGAGCTGACACAACCCTGGCAAGGGGAAGGACCAGGGAGACCCCGAGAAGGCGGGAGGAGGAGACCTAGAATTCCACCATTCAGAAACAGGAGACTTCCCCTCCTTTGCTCTTCCTGGATGCTCCACCTTCAGCGCCAGCCCCACTGTGTCCTTGCACCCCTGTCCCTTTACAAATATAAGGACTCTTCTTCGTTGAGGCAGAGTTAAGGGAACAGACAACTAGGCACCTCTCTTAGGGTTAGGAATGTAGCCAGTGTAGTCGTCATTTGTTGAGAGATTGCTGCTAAGAACTTGCAAATGTTATTTGTCCTTTTAGTTGTCCCAAGAAAGGTATTGTCCTTCCCACTGTACAGATGAAGTATTTGAGGAGTTCACACATTTGCTGAGATCTACCTCTCCAAAAGCATGTCCCCCATCAGGAGTTTTGTTCCAGGGCACTCCTATGTGTAGTCTGCAGGCCACCATGCACAGCAGATGAAAGAGGAGTGTAGCTACTTCAAGAATGGAACCTTACGCGGCCCACTGTCTTCGGTGGACCTCTGCAGCCTGTTAGGGTACCCTATTCATGATTTAAAACCGCAGAGCACCATGATCTTTAGTTGTATACAGTATCAAAAATATGCCGACTAAACTGTAGGTCCAAAAATGACTTTAAAAACAATTACAGGCAAAAAAAAAAAAAAAACACCCCAAAAAAACAATTACAGGCACAGAGTTTAGAGGGCCTCTTGAGAATCGCAAGCTCCTATGGCTTCCTTATCTGCATGTGTGTAAATGTGACCTGGTACTGTGGCTGCAGACTTGGCCATCATAGACATACCTGGCTACCCTGAGTTTGGAAGGCTCAGTAGTCAGGCCTGTGCCCGTTTTGTCCTGTTTGTCCTGTGATGATTCCTGCAGCTACACCAGGAGGTGGGTGCTGTCTCCAGATCTTGTTTTACAAATGGGCTGCTAAGCTAAGAGGTGAAAGTGATTTGCCCCAGGCCATGTGGTACTTACATCTTTGACTTTGAGACTATGTCTCCTGACGTCTGGTTCTGAAATCTCTCCCCATACATCAGAGCTGCCTGTCCTGGACTCCTCTCTCCCACTCTGCCCAAATGGGCTGGGCTGATCATCCTGATGACGTTGTGTCAGCTTGAGAAGTCTAGA